TTCTTGAAGAAACGCATCTAAAATTATTTTATGACAATTTTTCTATGTCTTATCTAATTATACATTAATGAAGAGTTAATAGCAAGGATATCTAAATCTATGCGAATTCTGACGGCGACATATTTATCAGTCATGACCCGTTTAAATCGAATTTTTCGTCTTAATTACAGTAATTCACATCTATTGAGAGACAATAATTTATAAACGTGATATGGTAATAATGTGGAAATTATAGTATTACCTAGTATTGCAAAGTTTCTTGCATAAAGTAAAAAAAATACTCATCACGTAGTAACTATTACGTCACACTCTGCCGATTGAATGTAAAATTGATTTTACTGCACGTAACGTTACGTGATATTATTCACAAATCGCTCTGCTAAATCTCATATGTAAATCAATCTAATAATAAGCAATAAATAGGATATTCTCAATGCTGATAATTCCATTCGAGTGCCTATTCGATATAATCGTTTTATAAAGAAATATATTACGTGTATGACACTATAAATTTAGTCTCGAGATTAAGACGCAATGCCGTAGGTGTCAATATATCGATGTATTGATACGATGTAATTAATATTTTCTCATTTTTTATGCTAAGCGAACTTCTTCTTAACGAAGAAAACCATTGGATCTTCGCACAATCTCAATGTTCACAATCAAATGCTCTTCAAATAATAAGAATGAGATGAGTTCTATACGTATATCTCATCTTGATATATTCTTAAATACAGGAAATACGGATGTATTATGTTTTTTGCGACAGTAATAAGATTTCATTCGCGGGGCTCTATCTGCGACATGAAGAAACTAGTGATGAAGCTCTTTCGTAACCCTAAATGAAAATTTCATCGTTACCTTCATTCAAATGAATCGAAATATTATGCAGTATTTTATAACCACTTGGGCTATATAATAATAATTTATTCATGAGAGTCAATATTTCTTAAGAGGAATATACTGATAGCCAAGAGTTGCATGAAAATTAAGCACGATAAATTATAAATCGCTCACCGTAGAAGATAGAAATTAACGAATTGGAAGTAAAATTATTACAAATTCTCGAGATTTTCAGCTCGCAAAATCATTGCTAATATATGTTTGAACTATTAAGCAAACAAAATTATCTTGTCCAATCCACACATTCTTTTCTAATTTATTAAAAAAAACCTTGGCGAAAAATTTTCTTAAAATTTTTCACATAACTTGTCATAATTTTTACATAAATTTTATAACTTTTTAGAAAATTTTTAGATTTTTTTGGTATGAGTTGGAACACATTTTTTTAAAATAATGAGACAGAGTTACTACATATTTTCTGTAATTCTTTATACAATATATGAATTCTGAAATATTCAAAGATTTTTCATTCAATAATTTTCTAAGAAAATTTATAAAATCTGAAATTTTAAATATTTCTTTAAATTTTTAATCTTCATAAGTTAAAAATATAAAAAATTTTTTTAATTATAAGATATGAGAATTTTTTTCATCAAGGAAACGACAAAGAAATAATTCTAGCCGAACACGCGATTTATTGTATTCAGCACCGTGCGAGGCGTTATTGTGTGTCGATAGACTCGGATAACCGATGTTGATGACGCCAAATCGGGAGTTTAATCGTTAAGGTATTAAAAAATATATTTGTCGACTTCGACGACAAGCCAACCTAACTCCCGCAATCCTGCTCTATGTTCGCTTCGGCGAAAGTTGTACATAATGCGCGAGCAGCGTGTAATCGTAAACCGATTTTAAATCTCGATCGCTTGCTAGTCTAGTCGGGGTAGAATTTAGTAAGTATATATATCGCGTTTTGGAGAGTTTTTGAGCGAAAAAGTGCCGTTAATCGCATGTGTAATCTCTCACATTGAATCGATTTTGTACGATTGATTTTATTGTATCGAATGGTGAATATATAGAGAGAATATACAAATTATATATATTAATATATACACACACATACACACACACACACACACACACACACACACACACATATATCTACATATATGTACGCGAGGAGGATAATATGTATAGCGTAATACAACAGAGTTGCCTTAATTAAATTATTTTAAATTACACCGAGCGACGCGTTCATCAGTTATTTACGATCGCGATAAGGGACAAAAGTAATATTTTGCAGAATGTAATCCGCTAGATCTTAAGCTGAAATCGTGTTTTGTACTTTGTTCAGAATAAATGGAAACATTTCGAACCGAGTCTCCTTCGTCCTTCCATACTTTGCGCACATGGTTAATTTATCACCATTACAAGTAGAAATTAGATCGATAAAAATAAATGAAATAAAAGAAAGAATCCTATTTTCTGGTCGAAGCGAATCGATATTGACAACATTAGAACGATATCGCAAACGTATGTTGAATACGTCGTCAAGATATTTGAGACGCGTCTGTGACGTACAGAGTATTCTTCAGAATTTACTATGTCCGCGATTTCTCATCCCGTAGACTTTCGCAGAGAGCTTCTAGTGATATACCGTAGTTATTTTGAGATGTATGAGTATATCTTCACTATATCTCCAGTACGTCTCTACAGTATCTGCGTTATCATAGTGATGTCTCTAGTATGTCATGTATGCATGCACATGCACATACACATATACATACATATATATATATATATATATGTATTCCATCTCAAGTGTGCCACCCGTGAACTTTTGGATTTTTGATTTGGCTGAAATTTTGATATATTATAGTACCCATCGAAAGAAGCTGCATAAAAAATAGAGATTACCTTGGATTTATTATGCTCGTGCTCAATACACCTGCACACCATTGCACACACCTGTGGCCGAAAAGGCGGGAAAAGAAGAATCACTCACTGGGATTTGTTCCAAAACTCGACTTTTGTCAACTCAAATATCATTTTATCCTTGTGTTCACTCTGAATGTTGAACAAGGATAAAAGATACTCGGAGTTGATATAGTCCAGTTTTGAAACGCACCCCTGATGGCGCTATGACCGCTGCGTGTTCCGGCACTTGTATTATACAAGAAATAATATTTTACTAAGACGTCATATTAACGTTTCTGGTTTATTCGGTATAATCACAGTATGAATATTGAATGATATCATGTGCTGTCTGGGAAGATTAGTAGATTTAATACAGCAAATGCCGTCTTACCCAAAATTGTAACTTCGAACATGAAGGACATTAGTTTAAAAATGTCGCAACCGTTTTGTTTTGGTCTCTTTGAAATCAGTAAACTTTAAAGTGTACATATTGGAAAAAATTCTTTTGAACCTCCTTACGAGGTGCCAAAGTACCGCTGTTAGCACTTTTGTCGAGACACGACGCCCGACTCGCCCGTCCTCGTAGCTAAAAAAATCGTTAAAAATTTGATAAAGGGCCGTCTCTCTGTTCTAATCGATACCGATCGATTGTTCATGATCTACTCTATTCAAAAAATTCTTTCGAACCCCCTTACGAGGTGCTAAAGTACCGCTGTTACTGTCAAAACAGGGGGTTAGCAATGTCAAAACAGGGATGGAGGAATTAATTGCGCGAACTGTATGTTTCATACGTATACAGATCCTATATCTCTGCCGTCACTGTTTACTACATGCACGCACGCACGCACGCACGCACACACACACGCACACCACTGTGGGCCGATTGTTCCAACTTCTTGATAAAGTTTACCTATTGAGTAAGAGTAGCAAGATTATCCAATCATGTGCGCGGATTGCCAGATTTACCCAACAGGTAAACTTTACCAATAGATGGAACAATCAATCCTGTATATCGCGACTACATATACCCAACACACACAAACACGTTTACGTAGATATTACACAATATTACAACAATACATGAATCATTTTCTTTTTAGACTCCGTCACGAACCAAATCTTATTCCCGAAACCTTCCGAAGAGCTAGTCCGCGAACAGGATTAACGGTCGTTTCAAATTAATATACAGAAAATTATCATCATGTTTTATTTTTCTTTTATATTTCTAAGTAACGCTGCCTAATATCGAGTTTGGAAGCTCGCGATTCTAATCATATGAAGTGCAGTACATAAATTGTGCTAGTTAGTACAAACAAAATTATTCGCATATCAGATACTGTTTATTATAAAAGGCGTACAGTAACATAATATAGCGAAAAAAATAACACGTTGGAAATCATCAAATGAAAAAGAACTTCCGCACAACTCTTGACTTTTTACAATATACATTACATCATTTAAAAATTAAATATTTAAATAAAAATATAGAAAAAATATACGTTGTATTTTCATATATACTTTTGTTATACACATTATTTTAGAAATATACAGTAGTAAACGAAAGTAATTTTAAGAGAATAATTTTATTCTTACATACAGATGTATAAAGCTTTTCTTCAAACCAAAAAATTTTAGATACGTGCTTATATAAAATCGTATCACTATTGTATTTTTCTTGAATATATTCGAAATTCCTAACTTCTCTCGTAACACAAAAAATAAATTTTTTTCTAGGACAAGTATTAATATATTGCACAAAACAATAAAAAAATATGCTTTCAAGTTAGAAAACTTAACTACATTCCTGTATTGAAACATACCGTTTTATCCTACTCTTTTAAGTATATACTCTTGGTCACACTTTTGTTTTATTAATACAATTCTTGACTATGACATACGAAACTAAATTTTTTTCTGCAATATGTTAATACACTGCTCAAAATAATAACAGGATCATTTTTGATCAATTCTGCTTAAACCAAATACTTACAACGAAAGAAGTACAAATATATTTACATAAATAAATATATGGACTAAAAGTCTATATATACGTAAAAACTAAAGGATACTTTCGAAGTCTTATTACATTTACTTCATATGTATTATAAAATAATGACATTCCAATAAGCGATCCAATTATTTTGAATAAAGTATATAACGAACAAAATATATTAGTACATTGTCAATAACATCAGCGGTATAATTCTATTTTTATAAAACATTTATGCATTTTTTTCGTTCCTTCTTTAAATTACATATACATAAATACCATGAAAACGGACTCAATTTACATCGCTACTTTATTTGATCGAGTTCTGCGACCCAATCACGGGAAAGATTTGCGTGATTTTGCCAATCCCCTTAGTACGTCCCTCCCTGAACAACAGTCGCATCCCAACGTGAAGATATTCCGGATGACTGACGAATCTAAATAACACAGAAGCAGTATCGTTCGTCTGCAGCCCCCTGTCATTCGCATCCATTATTCCCTCAATGACGCAAGTTTGCCTAACATTACCCACGTGTACTGTCGTTTGAAACCCAGGAAATATTGCGGTAGCGTGATATACTATTAAAACAGTCGCCTGAAACAGAATATTTAAACTTCTAGCATCTTTACAGAAACAAGATCAGCTACGCAACTCGATCACTATGTACATTTTAATTGCAAACTGGAATAAAATCTACTTTAAGAACAAATTTAAAAAAAAAAGATTATATATGATAGACACAGCTTCTCAAATTGATAAAAATAAGAATTTGTATCGCCATCTATTACCCAAATAACAAGGTAATGTCAATAATCTTTAATGTCATTAAGACATTATTGAGTCATCATTTAATGTCAACAAGACATCATTAAAACGTTACCTCGTTACCTGAATAATGGTAGAAATATTCGCAATAAGAATGATTATGTCAAATACGTCAAATACGTTGAAGTTTCTTCACACACCTGAAAGAAGAGTGTTGCGTGCGGTCGATCACGTAGAGAGACTAAAACCATCCCTGGGCGAAGATGTGGCAACGGAGGGCTACGATTCGTCGGTGGTGCTAGAGTCAAACTGGCGCTCTGTGACGCTCTAACTAAACAGCATGGAGCTTTATTACGATGTAGACTAACTACTTTCACTGGGCTAAATTCTCCGTCCGGCAAGGGTCCTACCAATAAACGAGTTCCCGGTGCGATTGCTCCCTTAACAAGTAACCCTCCTAAAACTGGTTGTGTTAAACCTACTACCCTATATAAAAAAATAATACATTTTTTTCATGTATTTGTAAAGGCTTTTTGCTGTGATATATGTTAAATATGCAAAAAATATAATTATTCTTAAAATGTCAAAGATTCGTAAAATTAGCTTTATTAATGAAATATTTAAAAATATAAAAACCGGATTGCACATACCTAAACGTCTCGTCAATTTGAAATAGACACGATTCTGGATCCGAGTCGATCGAATTCGTCTCGTAAGGTGATAAATTTTTTATAAACATAGTCAATTCTTCCAAACCCTCACCGGTAACACAACTGACATTAAATACTGGTATCACATCAGACGTGTAGTCCCATGATGGTAAGTCATTATTGCTAAACAGTACTAATTGCTTGGGATAGCCCTGCGTCATCATAGCGTTCTCAAGTTGAGTTAGGGTTTCAGACATGTCGCAAAATCCCAAATCGATTTTATTCACAACAATGAAGAACGGAAGTTTTAATGCTAAACAAAGAGCCATGTGTTCCTGGGACGCTTCGTTCAAAGGTGGGGCCACCACTAGCATAACGTGATGTGGCGAATATCCTGTGTATGTGAGGAAATATAATTATTTTCAAATAATATATAATTTTTTTGATAATTTCTTATACAAGTTACTGGAAATAATAAGAAATATTTTAGAATAATTCACAATCTTTGTAATAGAATATTATAATAGTCTTAAACAGTTAGATTTTTAAAAGTTATGTATACCTGTCAGCCCAAGTACCGTCGTCCTCAAGTACTTTCGATGTCCTGCCAAATCGATAAATGTAACAACTTTTGACGCGTGCTCGCATATCTCTTCAGCCGTCGCCATTTCGGCATAGTTCAAAACGTGACCCGTGTTATCGAATCCGATAATCTCATGCGATATCGAGGATGTACGACCAGTCTTTATCTCATGCAAGTGACGCAACATGTTAAGCCTCGCTCTACCTCTTCCATTGTCCAGTTCACCTTGCGTCAGTACCCCTATATACATAGTTTCGCTTACAATCTTCATAATCGTATTTTCGATACATTCATATAAAGTAGATCGCGAATAGCAGAGCGTAGCGTAGACTATCAGTGACGTTTCTCTACCTTAAATATCCTCTGCTAATCCTCTCACCTAAGAGAGTCGACTTTCCAGCATCCTGTGCACCAGTGACTGCCAATCTCAGGTCTATGATACTATCCTGGTCCTCTCTGTCATCCTTCCGTAATTTTTTTACCAGCACTTCAGCGACTTTTTTTTCCTCATTATTATTATTATTACTATTATTATTATTTTGCGACGCCAGGGTCTTATTTGCAGAACTTGTGGCTATTCGCTCGCGTAATACTCTTATAGTAGCACCCAGTCTGGAAGCCATATCCTTGAGAGTCTTCAAGGACGCTTTCATTTCATCTTTTGTTAAACCTGCCAGTCTTCCATTGTCCTCCACTCCTACATATTGTAATATATTAAGAGACAATAAAAAAGAAAGTTATACAAAATTGCCATTGTAACTATTTATACCAATTTGATAAATCGCTTCTCCATGTCCTTCTTTTAACCTCCATTTCATCTGGGTAACGAGATGTTCAAAACGTTGACTAGATGGATTTATCAATTTTAATTTGTACTCTATGTTTCCTTGTTCTGGCTCTGGTGGCAATCGATCTTCTTGATCCTCATCAGCGCTAGAAGTGTCACAGTCCGACAATCCGTTTCCTTCATTCTCGGAATCATCCCATTGTCTCTTTCTTAAATCCTTATCGTTTTGTGGATCAAAAAGTTGCAGGAAGGATTCCATATCTACAATCATAAAATCATAAATTATAATGATTATTTTTATAGTTATTTTTGCAACTATAAAATTATAAAAAAATATATTTATACATCGCCGTTATATCACTACGCTTAGCTGACCAATTCTGTTAACATATATGTGAGCATTGATAAGGATCCGAAATTGGATCGAAACGTTTGCGATTGAAATTACTTTATTTTAAATAAACCAAACTTCACATTGACATCTTGTGTTGGCTCTAATCGGCATTATTTGATTGTATTGATTTATCTCAATTGAGCCTTAATAATTAGTTTATTAATTATATTGTAAATATTTATATTCATTATTTAGTAGGAACATCTACAAAAATTCTAATCAAATTATAAAACAAATAATAGGTTTAAAAAGTATTTTTTATTTTTTTACTTTTTATAAATTACTTTTATAAATTTATTCATAAAAATAAAGACTTTAGGAAATATATTTAAAAAGTACGATATGATTGTGTGTATAAAATGTGAAATAATTTCTCATAACACGATGTAACACCACATAGAATAAGGTTTATGAGTTATCACTGTGTTGTGATTCATTGATAATGTCTTTGCGATAATTCATAAATTCTTTGGTATCTTTGAAGAAAACACTCGTGAAAATGTCCTTGATCACCACATTGAACAGAGATTGTATCATACTTATGCAATGTCTCATAATTAGCGTCTTATACTTTAATCATGTTTTCTGTCCTATTTACACTCGTTTTTATCTTAATAAAAAAATTTTCTATCAAAAAAAGTTCTGTTAAAAGGTGCTTTTTATTTGATGACACAAGTCAACAGAGTTAACCCTGATAAAAAAAATTGAGAACAATTGAAAACGATAGAATTTCTATCAGTGGCTGCGTTCAGCAGACTCAACAGTTTTGCAACCGTTTTATGATTGTCTGCTGAGATAGGACCATTCTTCTAGATCTAAAAGTATGATCCAATTAGCGCGAAGGAAACTTACAACAGTTGCAAAACAAACGTTCTGCTGAACGCACCCAATTTCTATATCGTTTTCTATAAGTTTATATTATTTTCTATCCTTGCAAGAATCACTATTGATTGGATATGAATCCTATTATATTTTATCGGATTCTATAAGATTTGTACAAGATTCCTATAAGATCTGATTCAAATTAATGAATTCACGAACTAAATTTCATATTCAAAACGATAGGATTTTTCTATCGTTCTCTCTACCAACTTTTTTTTACCAGGGAACACAAGTATCATTCTGTCTTTGTTATTTATTGAATGTCAATAAAAATAAAATAATGTTTGAATCAACTCGTGTCACTAAATGAAAAGCAAAATCTGTCTTAAATCAACAGAATAAAATTTTTATGAATTTTTTCTTTGCAAAAAATGATGCAATCTCTGAAGAAGGAAGAATCTATTGTTACTTCAGCCATTACATCAGCCATTTTCTTCATAAGGAAAAAGTATAGTTACTCTTTTGCATACCTATTTAAACCTTATCAGTAAGGAAAGTCTTATGTTAAATGGAAATTGTTATTTACACTTCTTTCTTCAGAATAAAGTATCGTATTTTCGGAAATTCTCACATATGTGTAGATGTGTGCGTGTATGCCTATTTCATTGAGAGGTCTGACAGATACAGAGGCAGGCGATGTTATGAGACATTGTGCTAGAACAAACAATACCCAATGTCAACAAAGATAAGGCAGGCAATCGCAATACCCTGAGAGACATCGTCAATTTCAGGAGACAACGAAACCTATCGCCGCAATCGCGAACAGCTGTTTCGAAAGTAAAAGTGACAAGGAAGGAAAGAAAGAACTCGTGAGAAATACTTTTCGAGATGAATGGTCTCACTTACCGAATTTTCCGAATGTCCGTGCCTGACTCAAAAATTGAAATCGTGTCGTCGTGATCGTATGTTCAGGTTGGTGATGCCATCGAAGTCGAAGGGCATGATAAACTGCACAATTCACCGCAACTTTCCTCTTTTTCTCCTTCCTCTGTATGAACTAGGTCACGAACTGTCATGTTTCGGCCAACCATGAACGAGAACATAGTTTAGAAACTCGTTCCATCGTTCTACTGCGAACCACCGACGAGACACAGAGGGTGCATTCAGTACTACGACCTTAGAGTCCCTAGAAGTAGAGAGTCTGGACAATGGACATTCAGCGGAAGTGCTCTCAAAATGGCGACGAATATGTGTGTGTACTCTAGGCTATGTTCGCTTTGGCGATCACAACGCTTTAAGCGTTGTTTCATCCTTGTTGTTTATTAAATATTAAACTAGGATAATTGCAAGAATGCTCACAACGCTGCAAGCGACAAAGCGACCGCAGCTATAAGGCGGAATCCATAGACGGTGCTGTGCTCAAGATTTGAGATGGTCTTAAGTCAGTGAATGAACCAATCAGAGAGCATATTAGCATCTTAAGACATTGGGCGAGTTCAAGACGGCAAAGCGGCTAGGCGTGCTTACCGAGCGATTGAATATGATTGGTTGGATCTATAAGTAACAACCAATTATGTTCATTTGCTTGGCGAGCAGGTTAGCCGCTTTGTCAACTTGAACGCGCCCATTGCTTGAGATTACGGCCGGTATTCATAGTCAGATCTTATATTCAAGACCGTCTTAAGTACAGTCTTAAGATGTCACGAACCAATCAGAGGGCCGCATTAGTGTCTTAAGACATTACTTAAGACGGTCTTGAAATAAGAATCGACTATGAATACCGGTCTAAGACCGGCCTATGGATTCCGGCCTCTATCTTTTAGGGACACTGTACGACCTTAGGCCGGTATTCATAGTTAGATCTCATATTCAAGACCGTCTTAAGTAATGTCTTAAGACGCTAATGCGGCTCTCTGATTGGTTCATGACACCTCAAGGCTGAACTTAAGACGGTCTTAAATATAAGATCTGACTATGAATACCAGCCGGTAAGTTAATTATAATATTATCGTGTTGCAACTTGTCAATTTCACATTTATTAGAAGTGTAAAATCCGTAAGTAGCTTTCTAATCTAGCAAAAATAACATTATTACAACATGTTAATCATAAAAGGAATTTTATTACGCAATATATTACATTATTTACAGAATACATAAAATGCCTTACTGTTGCGTATAATAGATATTTCGAAGCGTTCATAGGCCGGTATTCATAATCGGATCTTATATTTAAGACCATCTTAAGTACAATCTTAAGATGTCATGAACCAATCAGAGGGCCGCAGTGACTTAAGACATTACTTAAGACGGTCTTAAAATAAGAACCTACTATGAATACTGGCCATTGTCTTCATATTTTCAAGCGGATTGTAATCTATATACATATATACGCGCGATTTCTGTACTGTGTAATTGGTCACGCCATTGTGAGGGAGTTTTGGGATTGACCAATGAAAACAATCACGGTGTGTGGCCAGACTCTATCTCCAAGGGACCAGAAGCAAGTCCATCTCGTATATGAAAATGACAGATCTTTCATATACGACACCGTATATGAAAATGACAGATCTTACTCGGTTTCTGCTGCCAATCTGTCAAGTTATATCAGCAGGCTCTGCTTGGTTTCTGTTCGTAATCTGCTATCAGATTCTATCAGCAGGTTCTGTTTGATTTCTGCTGCTAATCTGTTTGCATAGAATGTTAACAGGTTCTGTCGGCAGAACAGGAGCAAAATGCGACATCAGTTGTAGACAGTCTGCTAACATCTTCTGATCAAATCTGCTACCAGTCTGTCGACATCCTGCTAACATTTAGCTATCTGGGATATTTTATGCCAACATATGACAGAATAAAATATAAAATATCTCGTAAACTATTGGTTTTTTGATATCACTACCTTCATACTTTTATATGCAGAATAATTAGAGGAACCATATTGTGTAAAAAAAATCATGCAATTTCGTTTAAAAAAATGGAGGTAACCTTCATATCTTTTTTACGCCTTCATCTAGAAGAAAGACAACATGACCCAAATATTGTTCCCTTTGAAACCATGCAACTTTTGTTTGGCATTTTTCTATTGTTAAAAACAAGCGAGTTATTCAGGTAACCAGTTTTAAATGCCTCACCCAGTATGCTCACGACGATAACAATAATCACGTTATCGTATCATCTTGATGCTCTTCTTCGAGTTTTTCCTCGTCGTCCGATTGCGATTCTTCTACAGCGACAATGTCTGGGAAATATAATTTCGATTCTTCAACAGCCTTCTCTAAATTTTCACTCACATGAAAAGGTCCGATCCCGGCGAAGCCCAAAAATGCCTCGCAACCTACTTTTTTTACGGTACAGACAAATATTTCGTAACTGTGAAGGAAAAGTGAAGTACTTTAGTGCACAGATAAAACTATATAATAATTAGCTTTCTCTTTATTGATATATAAAAGAGATTAAATACTTAATTTGATGTATTATATCACTTTTTTCACACCTTGAGAAGATTATTCAAATATATTAATTATTTATGATTGAAAAATTGACAAAAATGTAAAATTTAAAAACATAACCATATCTGCATATATGATATGATATAATGGAGTATTTTAGAAATGGTAATAAATTGATTAGATTTAAGTGATAAAACATTAACTGTTTAAAGCTTTTAAAAAAATTGTTATAATTTTGAAATTAATTTCTTTAAGTTTAAAAAAATTGATTATATCATTAAATTTTTAACTTAAAATAGAGAAGAATACCCCGTTTTTTCTTCTGTACTCATCTCAAATGCCTCTATACTTTTGGCAATCATCTTAGCCTCAGGCGGTTTATCATATTCAAATATACCAAAATTGATGATATCATCATCAAACATTTCCAGCACCATTTTTAAATCATTCTTACGCGTATAATCATATTTGAAGACGGTTATTGGCACTTTAGCTATCTTATCTTCATACTGTGGATTAAAAGAAAAAATAATATAATTAAATTAAATAAGTATTATAATTTAAAAAAATTATTATCACTTGTAATTAGAATTATAATTAGACTATATTTAATTTTATGTATAACTGTAAATAGTTATTCTCAATTTAAGTCCTTGAAGAATGTTGGAAAAGACCTCCGAATGCAAAAAACGTTTCTCAAATATATTTACCGGATACATTGTATTAGTGTAAACGGTGAATATTGTACGAAAAACGACAGCCTTGTTCCTGGAATTCGGAGGCGTCCAAATGAAAGGAAATTTTTTATTTTCCTTATCAGGAACTTCAAAAGCTGGACGATGTTTTCCGGCGTAGCTATACATAAAACATAAATTGACTGTAATAACAATTAAAATTAATTGTACTACTACTAATAATTAATGATGTGACCGTCTGTATTACTTCGTGAGAATATCATATAAACTTAGTAAACGAGAATGGATCGAAATGGATTCAAATTTTTAGAAATACGCATTTGCGAACGTTGAAATGAATTCTTTCCAATCTCAATGCATTTTTATTCATTTATAGGAATTGCATAAAGCACGTGCTTTTCAATCTAAATAAAATTTCAGTTCTTTAAATGCATCGTGAATTGCTTAATTCAAAATTTTTTTCAATCCAATTTTAATCTAAAAAATGAACATAGACTATGAATGCCATTAAAGTACGCATTTGGATAGATTTAAATGGATAAAAATTTCAATTCATTTTAATCCATTCTCGTTTACTAGGAGGTCACAGAGTTATCTTTTACGAATTTTATATTAGAAATTTGTCTGTGTTAGTTAAATTATAGCGCATACCAATCTTCATTTAAATTGTCCTCCAATTCCGGTACTGTTGATTCATTGAACAAGATATTGCACAGGTGATTATGAACGTCAAGTTGCTTTCTTCCTTCGACGATCTTCAATCGCATAAACATACATTTACCGTCAAAGAGCAATTGTTTGCTGGTTTTTGTAAAGCTATACGTGGACTGCAGCAAGTTAAAAAATAGCACAGTAAATTTTTATTAATATTGATACAAGTTACAGTCGAAAAAATTGAAATACTTCATGAAGCATTTGCTGGAGCAGATCCGCGTTCATTCGTTTACGTAGTTCTTGTTCCACCATGTAGTTCTCTGGTAGCAATTCCTCGATTAGTTCTACGTATGGTGGACTCGTTCTCTTATCTCTTCTACGTCCCTCTTCATCCTTGAATATCCAGGGAAACAGCAGTAGGCAAGTTTCGTTGCATAATGACGTAGTCAGATGCAACATTTCCGCCTCGTACCTTGCCTTAGCTTCAGCAACTATATGACGATTTTGTTACTATATTAAAGAGATTCTGGAGCCGCCTGTATTACCGATAAAACTAGTGTTTTTAACGTTTTTATTCCTGTCCAATTTTTTTGTAGTGGTTTCACAGAATAAAAATTCCTTTTCCACGATTAAAATGTACATGATAATGCATGTATTTGTCGCTGGTGTATTTTGTGTTCAAAGCTGGAAGAAAATAAAAAAATAAAAAATTACAGACTTCTTATTCATTTTACCTTCGACGTCAATCGAAAGCCGCCATATAGCCTTATGGTCGCCATACTGAGATAGAAATGGATAAAGAAATCTGTAATTTTTTTATTTTTTCCGGTTTTGAACACGAAATACACCAGAGACAAGTACATTAGCATATACATTTTAATTGTGGGAAAGGAATTTTTATTTTGTGAAACTACTACGCAGAAATTAGGCAAAAACAAAAACGTCAAAAACGCTAGTTTTATTAGTAATACAGGCGGCTCCAGCATTCCCTTAAGCAATAAATACAGTTCCATGCAACTTCCAATCTAATTCATAATTAATTTTACATGTTCGAACTATTACCTCAAAAGTAAATGAAAGTTAAAGTGTTTACTACATAATACCTATACTTTTTATACCTTTTCGAGATTTCCTTGCTGTTTCCTTGGCCATTTTCGCCTCGTCCTGGATTTTCAATCGAACTACTTCTTCTGGACTTTTCTCAAAAACGTCTATCGAGAATCTGTATTTTAAAACAAATAAATAATGAAATTTCAAAGTAATAAAACATTTATATTTTACAATATAACAAATCATACCATTATAAAAGATGCTTG